TAGCTACCGTTCTCTCTATACCTTGATGACCTCCTGTTCGCTTGTTATGCAGTTGCTCAAAAATGAATTTTCTTAGATTTGGTGGTGCCACTAACTGTCTGATAACCAAGTGCGGAGTAGCCGTAGCAATGAATCTTCTGTACAGCAGCCCGTCGTGTACTTCGAGCAAGTTCCATTGTGTTAGGTAGGTTTTCATCTCACTTCCCTTAGTCGTAACATCTGAAGGCGATAATGGGGCAGAGGGAGCTACCATGCTGTCTTTAACTTTACGATCTCACTGATGCATTCACTGACGATTTTTTGCCACTCTTTTAGCTCACTGGTCACTATATATCAGCTGCCCAACATTCTCATCGATTGATGCAAGTCACCAGATTGTCTTCCTGTTGCGCAGGAACTGGGCGGCCACCATCGGAGCTGCTAGAGTGATCTCACCAGCAGCTGGACTGCTCAATCTTCTAGCTGTTTGTGCTCGCGGCCGTGCCTCCTTTACCGTTTACCAATCAAATTTCCGTGCGCCTGACGTTGGGAATGTTATCTCGGACATTTAGTGACTACGTTGTCGTGATAATGCATTCGCATTCCCATGTGCCTTCCCTTGGCCGTATGCTTATGGAATAGTTATTATGTACCCAGAATCTGTAACCAGGGGCAATTCATGGCTTCTGGTTCCTTGAAATTCACTAGACGATTACTAACGATGCGTGATCGGTTCTAATATGAATTTTTCTATACTGCGCTTACTATAAGTAAGGGAAGTGAGATGAAAACCTACCTAAACACAATGGAACTTGCTCGAAGTACAGGACGGCTGCTGTACAGAAGATTGCATTGCTACGAGCTACTCCGGCACTTGGTATCATGAGACAGTTAGTGGCAGCCACAATCTAAGAAAATTATTTGTGAGCAACTGCATAACAGCGAACGGAGGTCATCAGGTCGTATAGAAGAGAACGGTAGCTAAGTGTTAGACAACGTGTCTAATTGGCCTGGAAGTAATTCTGATATCTAAACGTTGGTTGTCAGTGGTGTTAGCAACCTGCGCTAGTAGAGCGAGAAAGGGCAGATATCTGCACAAAGTCAAAATTACAGGCAATCTGGCCGTGGAAATTCCTGCTGCAGCGTGTGGCAGTATACATACTGGGGCCATCTAGCAGAAAAGCATGATAAAGGAAATAGAGTGATCATAGTGCTCACTGACTATTTTACTAAATGGACAGAAGCTTTCGCCTTACCGGATCAACGAGCACAAACAGTAGCAGACTGTTTGGTTAGAGAAGTGTTCACTAAAATAGGCATTCCTTTGGCATTACATACTGACCAAGGCCCAGATTTCGAATCGGATCTATTCAAACATATGTGTCGATTGTTGGATATTGAGAAAACTAGAACTAGTCCTTACCACCCACAGTCAGATGGCATGGTAGAACGATTCAACCGCACCATACAAAACATGCTGGCAAAATTTGTAAATGAACAGAGGGATGATTGGGATGAGCATCTACCATATTTAATGATGGCATATCGCTCGACCGTCCACCAATCAACAGGGTGCTCCCCCAATATGATGATGTTCGGTAGGGAGATTAACCTACCTATTGATGTGATGATGGGTCCACCACCAGGAAAAGGAAAGGATCTATGTGGGGTTGCATTTCTGTAGATGCTCTCTTGCGAAGTCATACGCATCTGCTATTGTGTATTTCAGCCATTCGACGTAGCAGCAACACGACAAAAACGAGGTTACGATAGCCGAGTGATAGACCATACGTTCAAGAATAACGATTGGGTATGGTATTGGTATCCCCCAAAAGGCAAACAAAAGCTAGGATCTGGATGGTCAGGACCATATCTGGTACTCAGGAAAATAGGCGAGGTTAATTACGAGATTCAACAACAGGGCTACAAGAGCCGTATTGTCCATGTGAACTATTTGAAGAAATATCAGACTGATATACAGGACCTGCCAGTAAATTGGAGGGAAACTGGTAATCAGAGTCAAACNTTCCTACTTACTTACTTACTTACTTATATTTACTTAAATATATCCTCTCTATGTTGTAACTATTGTTCCCCCTCCCCCCGTTACTGCACTTAGAACTTTCGACACTAATACTACATAGTCATAGGCTTTTAACACTAACAAATTGCCTGAGCAGGTGTCATGCATTACCTAGTGCCAACTTCATCATAAGGCTACGGAGAATGCTTACCTCGTAAATATGAAATGTTTTAAGTCTCTCTACTTTCCATACCGATTGTTCTGGAGCTGAAAATAGGTAGAAAACATGCTGTAATGCGACAACAAAATTGACGCCATTTTCAAAAGTGATAAAAGCGCCATCTCTAGGTTCATAAATGAATGATAGAATGAAACCTCTAGCGGACCACTATATCTCCCTTGTGTAATGGTAAAATTCATTATTACTTATTGCATGTAATTCACCTACAAACACATGTACTGAAGACGGTCTTTTTCATGGAGAAAAAATCTGATAAATGCAATAGTGTTGAGCAGTTAAAATAATAAAATTTCTGAGTGATACAGTAAATTATGTGATACATAGTTCTGAATGATACATGAATGTTACATCAAAGCTTTACATATATTGTTACAGGACTGACATGAATGACAATATGAAACGACTATTGTGTATGTCGGTAATCGGCGAGCTATATAGCGGCTGTTTAATCTGTTTTCGGCACTATGACTCTAAAAAGCTAAAACTACTCGTCACAGATTGTCCTTGAAAATTAATATAATCTTGCAATTTTTTTAAATATCAACCAAGTAATTTATTGTAACAATTTGCAGATGTATACATTACATTTCTTACATATCACTTATTAACAGCTATTAGCAATAATTAGTAGATTTTGGAAACACAACTAAAGCACCCATCCATCTGATGCAGTTAAATAGTTTAGGCGTTCAAGTACGTGCTGCCATCTACAGGCAGCCCGCGATAAAAACACGTCCTAGACTCAGCTCGCTAACACGCACTAGCGAATTTTTTTTTCACAACACAGTTCGACCACAGACCAGGGTATTTGCTTATTTAGCATATGTCATGTGATGTTTTAAATAATGCTGAATAGCCGAGCTCGTAGAACGCGAGCGTTACGTCTGGAAGGTCGATGGTTCGAGTTAGTTTTTATTTTTTTATTTTATTTTTTTTCTGTTTGGGGTTAGATTAGGATTAGGGTTAGTAGGGTTAGGATTAGGGTTAGGGTTATGAAAAAAACTGTTGTGAAAAAAAAATTCCCCACGCGCTGCTGCTCGCCTCACTTCCAACCGTCACCAGGTGTCGCTACTGCTGCTCACCTCGCCACCACCCACGTCCAGGTGTCGCTACTGCTGCTCGCCTCGCCACCACGCACGTCACCAGGTGTCGCTACTGCTGCTCGGTCATCAGCTGTGTTGTTTAGCTGTCGGATGACGTCCTGATAGTCGAACGACTGCGGTTCGTGTGTGAACGCGCGCACCAACCGCGTTCTATCCTCGCATCCCTGCGCGTAATACAGCTGCAGCTGATTGGCCAGGCACTGCGCCTCGAGCGCGCTCAGTAGGGCGTCGTCCCGCTCCCCCACCATCAGCACGAGGGTGGCAGCGGCGTCGGCGGCTAGCTCCGTGTAGTGCGTGAGTGTGAGGCAGGCGGGTGCGTCGGCGCCGTGCGTCTTCTACCCGAGCAGAGGCGTGACAGTCGGCGCTTCAGCATCATTCTTCATAAATTGCATGATTTTAGACTGATATATGTCGTATCAAGAGTAGATAATAACACATTCTACTGTATTACATTATTCTGTCTTATTATCTACTCTTGGTCGTATTTATTAAATTGAGTATGTAAACTTAGTGTTGCTCTCCTACACTTGTTGTTTTACTTGCACTCTAACAATATCACGTAATCTGGTTAGTAATTAACACAGTATTAGTAAATTAACTTATAAAGTCTTAGCATCGGGAAATGACAGTACGGGTCACTGTCAGTGCCTGGTGTCAGTGCCAGTGGGACTGGAAAGAGTGCGTGCATTATATGTGGACGTACGTCATACAACATGTATGATACACACACAGGGACCTGAGGCATAGTTTGTAAAACGTTAAGAGCAGTTCAGCCACCCATCGAGTTATGTTACATAAGAAGAGAAGAGTTCTCTTTTTATGTATGAATGGAAGAATGGTGAAGTCAACGTTGTATCCAACGTCTAACAGATGTTCAAAACACAAACAACAGCGACGACAACAAAGACAACAAGAATGGTAGTAAATTCTTACGAATTTTATGAATGTCGTTTTATTATTATTAATATTATTATTATTATCATTATGTTCGGCAAGTAAGAAAAGCAACAACTTAATAATGGCCATAATCGCACAAGCGCTCTACACGAGCCGTCGGTGGTGACGCGCGACCGTCGCCATGGCGACCGACGTGCATGGGCAGTACACATCATATCACAAGAATTCACACGACATCGACCGGCGTTACGGTGGTATGTTCCTACGGGTGGGTGAACTACATGGCGGCCACGCCCTCGGCCCAACCCCAACGGACGACCCCCCCCCCCACTCTCCACGCATCCCCACTCGGAATTTGTCAGGCAGACAACACATGCTGGAAAGGACAAGCAGCAGAGACGCAATACGCAGTGTGTACAACAGCAGCAGCAGCAGCAGCAGCAGTAGCAGCAGCAGCAGCAGCAGCAGAGACGCAATACGCAGTGTGTACAACAGCAGCAGCAGCAGCAGCAGCAGCAGTAGCAGCAGCAGCAGTAGCAGCAGCAGCAGAAGCAGTAGCAGCAGCAGCAGTAGCAGCAGCAGCAGTAGCAGCAGCAGCAGCAGCAGCAGCAGCAGCAGCAGTAGCAGCAGCAGCAGTAGCAGTAGCAGCAGCAGCAGTAGCAGCAGCAGCAGTAGCAGCAGCAGCAGTAGCAGTAGCAGCAGCAGCAGTAGCAGCAGCAGCAGTAGCAGCAGCA